GGTGACTGCAGTGTGTGGCCAGGTGACTGCAGTGTGGCCAGGTGAATGCAGTGTGTGGTCAGGTGAATGCAGTGTGTGGCCAGGTGACTGCAGAGTGTGGCCAGGTGATTGCAGTGTGTGGCCAGGTGACTGCAGTGTGGCCAGGTGACTGCAGAGTGTGGTCAGGTGACTGCAGTGTGTGGTCAGGTGACTGCAGTGTGTGGCCAGGTGACTGCAGAGTGTGGCCAGGTGATTGCAGTGTGTGGCCAGGTGACTGCAGTGTGTGGCCAGGTGACTGCAGAGTGTGGCCAGGTGATTGCAGTGTGTGGCCAGGTGACTGCAGTGTGTGGCCAGGTGAATGCAGTATGTGGTCAGGTGAATGGAAAAATCCTAGATCACCTTCTTGGATTCTATTACCCAAGTAACCAAGAACACGGAGTGGTGTAAGGGGAGCTTAACCAATGAGTGGTCAGAAAAGGTGTTTCCTCTGTCGCTCACGCTCTGAGGGGCTGCCGGCGCATGTGGTTGGCAGGCCCTGTTCTCTGCAGGCCTGCTCACTGCGCAGTGGCTGGCAGGCTGTTCTCTCCTCTGGACCTGTGCCATCCATGGCTTGCCTCGCCTCACACACCTCTTCCTGAGCAGTTGTGACGTTATAGTGTCCTGGCTAATTTTCAATATATATATATTTTCCCCTTTGGTTAATCTCTCCCTCTGTGATTCTGCACTCTATTCCATGCTTCTGTCTCTGGATCCATTTTGTTCATCAGTTTATTTATATGATTCCACATGAGATCATGTGATACTTGTCTTCCTCTGATTGGCTTATTTCGCTTAGCATAATACTCTCCAGATCCGTCCACACTGTCTCAAAGGGTAAGAGCCTTCCTTTTTACTCCACAGTAGAATATGAGGCCCATGGCTCTGTGCCATCTCAGCTCCACCAAGTGCTTAGGGATCTTAAGGGACCAACATCACGTTCCATATGCCAAGAAATTCAAGCTTCAGACTAGAAAACCTGCTCTGGGATTGCTTAAGGGCATCAGGTGACCTGGATAACCATAGGATGGCTACTTTACTGCGGGGTGTTCCCCTTCCTGACCGCCAGTCCTCGGGAAGCCTGCATCAGGGGCCCTGCTCCGGCTGTCCATCTATGGGTACAGTTAGCGCCAGCAGGATGTCCCTTAAGAGTTGCATTCAGTGATGTCCCTTTTGTCATGTATTATTAAGGTCACACATAAATTATGTGCATTTATAGGTCAAGAGACAAATTATGCAGATATAGCAGCACCAAAATTACTGTGCCTTCTCTATACTCTTTACCTCCAAAAGAAATGTCAGACATGATGAAACATCTGAAAGGACGTACTGAGAGTTCCCCAAAACGTCTTCAAGCCATTAGAGAGAACATTCTTTCTGTTATTGCTATTCAAACACATAAGCAGCCAATCCATGGAAATAACATACAGGCAGGTGGGGGAATTCTGAGTTTGGGGGTGGTGACTAAACTAAAACTCAATGTATTTGTCACCAGTGTTGGCGACAGTCTCCCATACGTTCTGATGCGCCATGCTTAAGAGGGGTTCAGTGTTGCTAGAACGACCAATAGGTGTGAACACAGCTCCTCACTGATACTCCTCAGGCTTCAGGTCAAGTGCACACTGCCTCAAATTAGCCAGGATCACAGATTTCTGCCAGGACTGTCTCTGGCTCATCTCAGATCCCTAACGAAATCATTTGCTTAGGAAAAAGGTGCAAAGAGGATTATCTCATTACTAAACAACTTAGCAGCCAATGGGAGGGAGCATACTCAAATCCAAAGATGTCACTAGGAACTGAGAGGAAAAACAGTGTCTGGAACCTGCACCCATCTGTCTTCACACCTTGATGGGACCTCTGGGGAGAGGTGTGCTCCAGCCCCACGCCACGTGTGAATGACGCACTGTATGAGCATCATCTCCTGACGCCTTCAGAGTATGTAACCAAGAGTTTCGATGGAATCTGCTCCTTCAGAAGAAATGTGTGCTTAACAGCATCACCTGGCACAGACTCACTCCATTTCTCATATTTCTTTCTTTCTTTCTTTAAAAATATATTTTATTGATTTTTTTACAGTGAGGAAGGGAGATAGTTAAAAACATCGATGAGAGAGAGTCATCGATCAGCTGCCTCTTGAACAACCCTACTGGGAATATGCCTGCAACCAAGGTACATGCCTTTGACCGGAATCGAACCCGGGACCCTTCAGTCCCAAGAGGGATAGAGAGTTAGAAACGTCGATGAGAGAGAATCATCGACCAGCTGCCTCTTGAACAACCCTACTGGGAATATGCCTGCAACCAAGGTACATGCCTTTGACCAGAATCGAACCCGGGACCCTTCAGTCCCAAGCCAATGCTCTATCCATTGAGCCAAACCAGTTTTGGCCATTTCTCATATTTCTTAAAGGGCAAATTAAATCTCTTCATTGCTCAAACTGAACTTAATTTACACTCACCTAAAATGGTGGAATCCCCCCTGGGTAATTAGAAAACAAGGCCCTCTTATTTTCTTGGCTATTTGAACAAAGATTCATCCCACCGCCATTAGCCAATGCTGCTTACTAGCTGTGCATCACAGCAAGGAGGTCAGCACTGCCCTGCCAGCTTCTGTCTCATTTCAACAGGGGCCCCACGGTTGTTTTCCAGCCCAAGCAACCCCTCCTGAAGGCTGTTCAAGCAACACCAACAACGTGAAATGACTTTCTGCATTTAAGGAACACACAAAATGTGCATCTGAAAGGTTTTTAAAAATTGTTTTTAATTCGTCCCCACTCCATATGCAAAGACATCTGTCGATTTCTAGACTAACTGTTTGAGATTACTGGATTTGACAGAAGAATCTGCGAAGTTTCTTTTTCTCCAGCGGTGATGGCCACCTTCTGCTTGTTTGCTCAGATCCACTCTTGCATGTTCCCCTGAGGGCGCCTTCACACTTGGGACAGTCGCTGGGCTCATCTCACTTTGGACACTTTTATGCTTGCTAACTGCAAAAGTAACTGGCCTCTTTAGGTCAAATCTCAATCATGGGCTCACTGGAGCCATGCTCTAGTCAACAGAGCTATAAATGCTAAATAGTTAAGAGGCAAATAAGCAAAATCAACTTTTGCTTTTCTTATTTCCTAGGTAAGATTTAGGGCTTTAAAAAGAAATACCTTATGGAAAAAGAAAAAAGTATAAATGAGAATTTAAAAGGGTTTTTGTTAGCACTAACAGAGAAACACAATTTAATTCCATTTGTTCCATGGAGAAGAAAACAGGTATAAAAGGAAGTGACTTTATATTTAGATTTAACTGGGTCCTAAGCTACTAATAAAACTTTTGTTAAAACCACCATAAAAATTAAAACTAGTCTAAAATATAATTGCAGTGTCCTTTAGGATTTGAGAGTGAGATGTTGTAGGTTGAAGTGAATGTTCCCTTGGGTTGCCAAATGCATTCCCAAGAGTGTTCCTAGGCTGTGGGGATAGAAGGCCAGTGTCAATATTGTTCATCCATAAGGACGAACCTTCAGCTACGTGTCCAGATTTAAGACTTGCCCTCCCTCAATGCCCAAGTATTGGAAATTGTAAGCTAGATGTACCTGCATGGGAAGTTTTTTTCACAATTCACACCAGAAAAAAGCAGCTCTCAGAAAAGGGAAAAAGCCACTGTGTGTAAACCTGCAAGGAAAACCCTAATGTAGAAGAGCAACGACTTATTTTTTTCAACTGCAGAGTTTGTTTTTAAAAGTCAGTTACTGCCCTGGCCAGTGTGGCTCGGGGTTGAGCGTCGTCCCCTGCACCGAAAGGTAGTGGGTTTGATCATTTCCTGGTCCATGCATGTTTGGGAGGCAACGGATCAATGTTTCTCTCTCTCTCTCTCTCTCTCTCTCTCTCTCTCTCTCTCTCAAAAAAAAAAAAAATCATTAAAGACATACATACCCTCAAGTGAGGATAAAAAAAAAAAAAAAAAAAAAAAATCAGCTACCTAATAGTAAAAAGTCAAGGTTTTTGTTTGTTTTACATGAGAAAGGAGTGTAAATAAGTTCATAAACCAGTATACAAATGTTTATGAGCCAGTAATTTAAAAAGACAACAAAAAAGCTGCATGGATCCTGAAAGGATATGTGATACATCCACTCCAGTCAGAGGTATTGTAAGAACAGTCTGACGTCCTCAGAGCGGGCAGCATGGAGTCAGGTGCCGCACCAGTGGCGATGCGGCAGGCAGCACTGCGCTCAATTATTCCCTAAAAGGGACAGAGGAAGGAAAACAAGCAGTTCTGATTGCTCTTTTCACATTTCAGCCTCTCAGAACTCCATCCCAAACAAAGACCGTGAAGAAGCCCTCGGGTCCCTGTGGGAGTGTGGGAGTGGCAGGTTCCGCTGAGGGCGGGCGGCGTGGGAGAAACCCGCTGAAGGTGGCCGCGCACAGGGGCTGGGCTAGGTCAGCAAGCAAGTGGCCCTGAGGTCCTGGCTTTCCAGTCTGTCGCGGCTGTGGGCCTGTGGGGCACCGATCCCTCTACTGTGGGTTCTGTTGGTTAAAAATACAACAGTTGCATTTGCAGCACTTCAGTTATTTAAAAACAACTTCATCCTCCTTTCCCTCATCCAACTGTAAGAAAGGAGAAATTCATGAAGCATTTATTTTTAGGTTTCTGAATTGCTATTAAAATTCAATTAAATGTAAAACCTAATAAGACAGCCCCAAATTGTTAGGATAATCTCAAGGGACCCTGAATCGGGCAGTGAAATGAGCTGGACTTGCGCGGTTGGCTGTCTCCGCCAACAGCCATCTGTTGCCCCCCGGAGTGGTCCCACGCCACCCCTCCATGAGAGCGCTGGGCAGCAGCAGGGTGTGGTTTGGGGGAAGCTACTGGGTTTGCCATTTGCTTCCAGAATCACAGACTATGATGAACTTGACATTGAACACTGCTGAGTCCTGAGTTGGGGAAAGCCCGTGGAGGAGGGCCGAGTTGAGAGGCTCTTCCCTCCTTTGACTGGTGTCATACGTGGCCTCTGGCTCTCTCTTCTTCCACTGCTTGGCTTGCTGTTTCTTTTTCGTTGGCGACCCCTCCTAAAGTCTTCTGGCCCGTGGCTTTACTGGCCTCCTGAGGAAGAAAGAGAGGAACGCTCAGTTAGCTCCTGGCCCGCAGACGGTCTGTACTCTGACAGGAGAGGGCAGCACCAGGACTCCCCAGGCTTCTGGCGGGGTAAGCCAGGCCTGCGCTGCCCATGGGGAGGGAGCGGTTGCTTTCCTTCAGTTAAAATGACCAGCCTGCCACTGTCTGATAACCCGGCCCACGTGGCAAGCTGCCGGGGAGGGTGAGCTCAGGAGCAGAACACAGTCTGCAGCCAGGGAGCAGGCCTCTCGCCGGGTGCCAGGATGGCTCCCAAGCCTCCAAGCAGAGGGCATGGCAGTGGGCATCCCCACCACAGCCCATTTCCTGGGAAAATAGAAGTATTACCTGCAGAAAACCTAATGTGCATGATTTTTAAAAAATAATAAAAGCTTTAGGACATGTCTAGGCAATTGCTTGGCCTCAGCTCCTGCACGGACAGGCCATGCCTCTACTGCAGGCCTGGTGAGCAGAGCAGCCCCATGCTCCCTCTGGACCAGACTGGATCTCAGCTCGGAACCTGATTCCCTGGGCTGTGCTCTGGGGTGGAGTGTCCCCTCTGAGACTATAAACCAAAGGGCGAGTCCGTTCTGATCTACCACCCGATGGCCAGGGCGCCCCCCACACACCTTGGCGTCCCGCTCCGCAAACTTGGCGAACATGTTGGCGTAGACCCTGCGGTCCCGCTCGTTGTGCTCCTTCGCCTTCTTCTGGCACAGGGAGATCTGCAGCCGCGCGGCCTTGTTCTGGGGGTTGACTGCCAGCACCTTCTCAAAGTCGCCCTTGGCTGACTCGAACTCGTTCATGAGCAGCTGGGCTTCCCCCCTCCGGTACAAGCCTTTCTCGTTGGCACTGTCTAGTCCCAGGGCCTGGAACATAAGGTGTGCGCTTCAGAAAGAGTGAATGTAACTGATGGGACTTTTGAAAGAAACTCAGTATTGCCGAAACTGGCTTGGCTCAGTGGATAGAGCGTCGGCCTGCGGACTGAAAGGTCCTGGGTTCAATCCCGGTCAAGGGCATGTACCTTGGTTGCGGGCACATCCCCAGTAGGGGGTGTGCAAGAGGCAGCTGATTGATGATTCTCTTTCATCAATGTTTCTAATCTCTATCCCTCTCTCTTCCTCTCTGTGAAAAATCAATAAAATATATTAAAAAAAAAAAAAAAAAAGAAACTCAGTATTTAAACAATTTACTAAAGCTCTCTGGCCAGGAAATTAGAAAAACTGTATTGGTCTCAAGGTTATTACATACTACTGATCAAAACACAACTAATTACCCAAATGAATTTCTGTGATTAACACAATTTCTCTAAAGACCCCAAAGGATTTGGAAGGGGATCTTGAGAAGTTCATTTTAAAGTTCAATTGAAAGGAGTAAGTGACGAAGAATAGCTGAGGAAATTTTGGATAAACAAAAATAGTAAGAGGAGAATTGCCTTACCTGAGAAAAAAATATACTACCAACAATTGACATTAAAACAGTTTGGTTACTAGTCCATGAACAAACAGGTCAATGGAGCAGAACAAAGCAAGACAGACTGTAAATCAGTAGGGAAAGGGTTAACTTGACAAAAAATGGGGTCAAGACAGTAGCTATCCATGTAGAAAATAAGACTTAATTCTTACCTCACATCATAAACACAAACGTAAGTTCTAAATCAAGCATTTTTACATATACTGCCTGCCCAATAAAAATAATAGATTTTTCCAGTTATTTTTTTTTAAAGTAAACCTAGTTGGAGCAGGTTTTGCTAGTACTGAATGGGGTTATTTTTATACTCTTAGGGTGGGGAAGACTTCTAACCAGAAAGGAAAGGCAGATTTGACTCCCTCAACATTAAAATTTTCTTTATGGAAAAAGATGCCATTCCAAGTTAAAAGCAAATATGAATGAGGTCCTAGAGTCGTGTTCAGAGTCATAATGTATAGATTATCTCAATCAACCAAAAACAGACCAATAATGCAGTTGAAGATGTGAACAGGCAACCACAGAAGTACAAATAGCAAACAATGAAAATATGTACAATAAAAAGAGGAAAAAAAATTTGTCCATTGAGGAAAAATACCACTGATAATATTCAATAATAATATATAAATTTAAAATGTTACTGTATTAAAATTATTGTCTTTTGACAAAGTATTTCGACTTCTAGGAATTTATCCTAGAGAAACAATCCCACAAGTATGCAAAGAGAGACATCACATAATCTGTAACATTACAACCTGGACATCTACCAAAAGGGGTTGTGAGATAAACCATAGATGGCGTGCAATGGATACTCAATAGATACTTAAAAGAATGAAGAAGTGTTATATGACAGATGCAGAAAAATGTTGTTTGATAAAATTATGTCCAAATATATATATTCTAATTTTTAAAAGAACATATACATATATGTTACTTTATGTGTGGAAAAAACGGAAGGAATATGTGTGAGATCAATGAGTGATTTTGGGAGAGATGGTCAACTAGAATCTTATAAATAAACTTTTACTTTCTTGTATGTTTCATAATTTTGAACTTGAATAACTTTATACTATTATAATAAAAAATAAAGAAAAAAAAGCTTAAAATGTAATTAACAGTAACATTTTTTTCTTAGGCAAAATTTGAGTAAAACATGATAGGAACATATTAATCCACAAAACTCAAAATCTTAAAATTCAAAAATAATCTTACAAAGATATATGAAGTCGTTGCTTGTTTTTCTTATTCCTTTCTGTTTATCTTTAAGATACAATTGATTGTTAACTGTTACCCATAGCATAACACACACTGTTGGCTGAGACCAGATACCTGACCTAAGAGTCAGCATCAGGTATGTGTGCATAAGAACGCCAGAAGCACGCTTCAGCCGCCTTCACAAACACCTGGGCTCCAGCGTAGGAACAGTATTAACAACACAAATGGAAAAGGGAGAGGGCTGCTGATGCTTGGTGGGTCTTTCAAACAATTCATGTGTATTCCTAATCAGGAAAAAAATAGGATAACAGTGACTTCCTTATATATCCTCAATATGTGCAGTTGCGGCCTGTTTTATTAAAGTACTAAAAGGCTTAAGTTACATCTGTTCTTATTAAATTGAACCTGAGGAGTTATATGTCTAATCTGATACCAAGAGATACTAAAGAGGGTCATTTTATGATTAATTTTATTGAAACTTTTATGTGTAATGCATTATTATAAACTAGAGGCTCTGTGCATGAATTTGTGGGGTACCTCGGCCTAGCTGGATGGGGCCACTGGGGCCGCGGGAGGTTGGCTAGTGGTGGGGGAAGAGGAGTCGAGGGAGCCTGGCTGGCTGGGCAGAGGGACCACAGGAGGTTGGCCAGCTGCCTGATCGGGTCGATTGGGGCTGGCCGGCTGGGAAGAGGGACTGCACCAATCAGGGCCATGGGGGGGTTGGGGGGGGAGATAAGGATCATGGGAGGTTGGCCGTGTGTGTCACAGCAACTGGTAGACCCGTCACTTAGGCTTTTATATATATATAGATAGTTTAGGCCTCAGAAAAGTCTTTAATCAAAACCTTTCTGAATTTCCCAGTTCATACTGAGAAACAATTCCAAACAAACAAAAAATACATAAAGCCAAATGAAAAACCCTTAACCCTTGGTGAGCAGCAGTGAGGCGGACCAGGGGTGAGACTGGAGAGAGGCGTGGCCTCTGCAGCCCAGCCTCGCCACGCTACCTTGTCGCAGCACTCCACGGCTTTGGTGTATTCTCGGAGCTTCAGGTAGCACATGGCCAGGTTCAGGAAGGCAGCGAGCAGGAACGACTCGGAAGCTTTTGATTCCTTTTCGGACAGGCCGTATTCCATCTCGAGCCAGGACACAATCTTCCCGTACTGAATGACCGCCTGTAGGTACTTGCCTCCCTAGGAGAGAAGAGCTGGGCATTACTCTCCAGAGGGGCACATGAGAAGCGTAAGCCCAGGCCTCCCTGGAAATACCAAACCCTCAAAATGGAACCCCCTCATCACTGTGGTTTTCCTCAGGGTGGCTAGCCAGGCACTTCTCTCTCAAGTCCCAGTGCCCAGTGAGCTGGTCAGAACAGAGACTGCCCCTCCTTTACCCTCACCCTGTTCCAAGGGGACAGTGCTCTCAGCAAGAAGGCAGCAAGGCATTGGGGTAGCATTCTGTGGTGCTGACATCTGTCTGTCTGTCTGTCGGTCCAACTGTCCATGCAATGTGGAGGTGGGTAGAAATGAAGGGTGTCATTTCATTTAGATCAGGTAAGGGCATTTTCCCTTATGCCTCGTTTCTTCTTCTTCTTTCCTCCTTCACTTAACGTACCTATTACCTTTCCAATCACCTCCTCACATACTGTTACAGGGAAAGAAAAGGAGAGGACAAAAACTGGATCTCACAACTTCGGTAGGCTTTGAGTAACAGAATGGTAGGAGACTATAGTTTCTAAAAAGAAAACAAGTAATAGACTTCTTAGTAGTTCCTTTACGTTGAAAGAGCATTTTAATTTCTCGAAAGCTCTTTCATGTATATCATATTCACACATAACTTTATTTAGGTCACTTCCAATGAGCTCAGTGCAGGTATTTGCTTTGTGGTACTTCTGCTTGTGATGTGCTAACAGGAGCTCTCCCCGGGGTGACCGTGCCTCCGGGGCATTCGGCAATGTTGGGAGATGTCCTTTAATCATCAGGTACTAGTGGCATCTAGTGGGTAGAAGCAAGGAATGCTGCTAAATATCCTACAATGCCCGCGACAGTCTCCACTAACACAGAATCATCCGGCCCCAAACGTCAGCAGAATGCAGGAGGCGGCCGGTGTGGCTGGGTGGTTGGAGCACCGTTCCTTGCACCAAAAGGTGGCAGGTTCAATTTCCAGGCAGGGCACATACCCAGGCTGCGGGTTTGATTTCTGGTTGGGGCGCTTCTGGAAGGCAACTGATCAATGTTTCTCTCTTTCACATCAATGTTTGTCAGTCTCTCCCCCACTAAAATCAATTAAAAAAATGTAGGAGAAAAAAGGCAGGGTTGACTCATAAATGGCTTGTTTCTAAATTATAGCACTGGTTTCTTGGTTCAGCAAGAGTGGTCAAAACAGTAAAGCCTGTTTGTCTGAAAAGGGTTCCGTGGTTGAAAGATGAACCTCAACGACTAGCTTGCTTTGGAAATGCCTTTTCCCCATAGAGCACAAGGGGGCGCCAGAGCCCCATGTCACTGCTGGGCCCTCAGCCTTCTCGCCACCAAGTGGTCAGGTGTGATAGTGAAGGCCTTGTCCTGCAGACTGCTAGGGGAAGGAAATGAGAACCATGTTTCCCTGACTGTACAATGCCTGGCATGATGCCATGTTGTTACCTAGGCTTAGTTATGTTAGGTGCCACGTTAAAAGAGCCCTCTCCTACCTTTCTTCCCTTCAGTGTTCAGAGGCTGATAGGAGGAATGTACAGTCTACACAGCAAAATCGCTCTTATTTAGCTGACCAAAATTCAACCTCTTCAGGAGAGAGATTTACGCACTAAAGAGTAAACCAAATTGCAGATCAATGGAAACGGAGCTCCCTTGTCCTGACGGCATGAAATGCACATTTTTATGTCACCATCTCTGCTTCACCCACAGTCTGGATGACTGTTGCATGTGCACACGCTCCAAGTCAGCCCCCAGAAAGATGAGCCCAGGAGGGCAGGGTGGAGGCTGAAACCTGCCCTGACCTCTGAAAAGGGAATGTGGACAGGAAACGACCCACCGACCAGCTTGAGGCCTCAGAGCTAAAACGAGGCTCACTGCTAGGACCTTTTACCTATAATTAGGAAGGTGCCTCTGGGGAAGTGTTCAGAAGTACAAAGTGTTCAGAGACATTCTGGGAGAAAAGGCTTAGGTCAGTGGTTTTGAACCTTCCATTAATTTTCCCCCAATGGCCTAGTGTTTTGAAAGATTTCGTCTGTCAAACTGCATTTTAAAAATAATATGTTCCATATGTGTGACTGCTGATCCAGATTTTATTCAAAAATCAGTAATTTTAAGAGGGTTCATAATATTATGAAATACACAAATCACTACTGCAGTTGTGGTGCTAAGAAGCAACCAAGTTCAGTAACTGTATAGACACCTAAGCAATGCTTTTTGCTACTGATCACAAATTCTGGCATCTCTCTGTATATGCATTCAAGACATAGCCATATGGCATGTGGCTTTGCAGCATTATTTCATTATCAGTAATGTTCCCCAGAGTTACGAGCCACCAGCAAGCAATACTTTCTAGTGAATTGTCGAGCTGTTTTGCTACACTGAGTTGATATGATTCTAGTTAAATGCCAAGAGCCTCAACCCCCTGCTCGAACTGTTAATGTTCTATTTAGAAGTTTGGGAAATATAAAAAAGATTAAAGATTTTAACGGACTCCAGGTATATAGGTTACACCATTCAGGACCTGAGGTCTAAAGGAATTTTTACAGAACATTTTCTTTTTATTCTAGTGTACTGTGTATTTGGGTTTATAAAAAGCACATTTGGAATCTTACTCAAATAGTTTAGAAGTATCCAGTATACATAATTGAATTAAAAAAAAAAAACACTTGCTCTTGAGAGTTTAAAAACTTATAGGATTTTAGGGCTGGGAGAACTTGGGGATCATCTAATCAGTGGTCGGCAAACTGTGGCTTGTGAGCCAAATGCGGCTCTTTGGCCCCCTGAATGTGGCTCTTCCACAAAATACCACGTGCAGGCGCGCACACACAGTGATTGAAACTTCCTGGCCCACGCGCAGAAGCCGGTTTTCGGCTCTCAAAAGAAATTTCAGTCGTTGTACTGTTGATATTTTGCCCTGTTGACTAATGAGTTTGCCGACCACTGATCTAATCTAACTCCCTCAACTGAAAAAGTAACCACTTTACACTTTATAAATCATTTGGAATCATAAAGCTGAGAGTCTAATTCAGAGCTCATTTCACCACTGTTTTCTGGATAATAAGTAGTTAAAAGTAAATATAGCCGAAACCGGTTTGGCTCAATGGATAGAGCGTCGGCTTGGGGACTGAAGGGACGCGGGTTTGATTCTGGTCAAGGGCATGTACCTTGGTTGCAGGCATATCCCCAGTAGGGGGTGTGCAAAAGGCAGCTGAACGATGACTCTCTCTCATCGATGTTTCTAACTCTCTATCTCTCTCCCTTCCTCTCTGTACAAAATCAATAAAATATATATTTAAAAAAAATAAAAGTAAATATAAATAAGTAGATGCCCGGTGCACGAAATCTGTGCACAGGGTGTGTGTGTGTGTGTGTCCCTCAGCCCAGTCTGCACCCTCTCCAATCTGGGACATCCCTTTCATAATCCAGGACTGCTGGCTCCCAACTGGTCATCCCTAACTGCTCTCCTCTGCAGGCTTGATCACCCCCAACTGCCCTTCCTTGCAGGCCTTGTCCCTCCCAATTGCCCTCCCCTGCTGGCCTGATCGCCCATAACTGCCCTCCCCTGCTGACCATCTTGTGGTGGTCATCTTGTATCCACATGGGGGCAGCCATTTGTGTGTTGGAGTGAGGGTCAATCTACATATTACTCTTTTATTAGATAGGATAGAGGCCCGGTGCATGGGTGGGGGCCAGCTGGTTTATCCTGAAGGGTGTCTCGGATCAGGGTGGGGATTCCCTTGGGGAGTGGTGTGGCTTGGGCAAGGGGCCTGTGGTGGTTTGCAGGCCGGCCACAACCCCCCGGCAACGCAAGCTTTCTGCTTGCTCCGTGGAGGCAGCCATTTCTGTTGGGATTTATGTATCTTCTATAATGGAAACTTTGTAGCTTTAAGCAGAGGCCTGGGCCAGCCAGGGTGTGAGGAAAACTTGGCTTCCTCCATCGCCAGGGGGAAACTCTAGTTTCCTGCTCTTTCTAGCTTCATAGCTGCTGACATTTCTGTTTGGGTTTATGTATTTTTTATCACTGGAACTTTGTAGACTTGAGTGGAGTCCCAGGCCGGCAAGGGCAGGCGAAAAGCTTGGCTTCCTCCATTGCTGGGGAAACCGAAGCCTCCCTCCCCACTGCTCTCTGTGGCCATAGCAATCTTGGTTGGGTTTATTTGCATATTCCCTCCTGATTGGCTTGGGGGCGTGACTTGTGGATGCAGCTTGTGGGTGTAGTAGAGTGATGGTTAATTTGCATATTACTATTTTATTAGATAGGATTATATATTATGTAAGCCAACATGTTTCAACTTTATTTAACCAAAACCCATAGTAAAACATGTCTTAAAAAAACCTTAAATTATGATCCACTACCCATTCATACACAAGTGAACAAAAGACTTGTGAAACATTTGTCCTTAATGCATAATATAATATACATTTCCCCTATACCAATTTCATGATCTAGTAATGGATTTCCTCTCAAAGTTTGAAAAACAAGAGCCATGCACGCTGCTCCTGGGCTGCGTTCACTTTGCTTACGCAGTCCTAGATAATTCTCCAGGCGTTTCATGTCAGCGCACACGGCCTCCTCTCCCTCCAGACAAGACTGGCAACCAAGAGTGTCTTAGAACCAGTGCTCCACAAGGACTCGCCGAAGCACAGCTGTGCATCGCTGCTGCAGCCTGCTGAAGCAGCATTTGGCTTTTGTTCTTGGATTGCAGTGGCAACAAGAAAGAAAGAAGGAAGCCTAACAACACTGCCCTTCCTCTCTGACTCTTGTTCTCTAAGCCCTTCGTGGATAAGGAGCAGGCACGTCTTGGGGTGGGAAGCACCAAGGTGCACTCTGATTAGAACTGAACAGAGTGTTGTTTCTTTTTTGTCTTCAATCTGGGGTTTAAGATCTAACTGAGGAAATCACATCTTCCTAGGTGTTACAAAAAGGGTTTTTGAGAAACAATCAATGACAAAGATCATTCACAAAAGTAGGTGTGGCAGGGATCTTTGTGGCCATCAGAAGAAATGAATCCTCTTCTATCAGTTTTTTTCTTTCCTTCTCTCTCCCTCTCCCCCTCCCTCCCTTTTCTTTCTTTAAAAAAATATTTTTATTGATTTCAGTGAGGAAGGGAAAGGGAGAGATAAAAACAACAATGAGAGAATCACTGATTGGCTGCTTCCTGTGCACCCATTATTGGGGCTTGTACCCTTGACTGAAATAGAACCTTTTGATCTGCAGGCTGGCACTCTATCCACTCAGCCAAAATGGCTAGGGCTCTCTCAGTTTCTTTTGAAATTGGGCCTTTTGTCACATGCCTTAGTGACCTCACTAAGACAGTGGAAAGGAAAATGATGTGAAAGTTGCCCCTATGAATTCCATTACAGCTCACAATTATTTTATTCTTTCTTTGTTTCATCCCACACTCACTCATTGAATGCCAACTATGAACCAAAGCAAGAAGCTTCAGGCCTGCAGTGAGAGATCCAGTAGTGGCCGGGCAGGACACCCTGGTCTCCCTTCAGGGAGGGTTACAACACAGAGTAGACATTGCAAAAGGGGAGTCTGTGCTCTGGCCGCATGGCTTAGTTGGTAGGAGCATCATCCTGTACACCAAGAGGTTATGGGTTCAGTCCCTGGTTGGGATGCAAACAAGAGGCAAATGACTGATATTTCTCTCTCACATTGGTGTTTTCTCTCTCTAAAAATTAATAGGCATATCCTTAGTGAGGATTTAAGAAAAAGAAAAAGAAAAAAAGAGGCATTTGTTTTCTTTTGTCACGCTAATTCATTTTTCCCTCACTATTTCTTATACTGTAAATGACAGACCTATAAGAATTCAGGGTTACTCTTATCTAGAAGGGCGTTGATAAAATTCAGAGTAGGGAATACCAGCACAATTCATTAAAAGCTGAGCACGTTCTCTGAGCTGGGCACTCACATACCTTGAAGTACACAGTCCCCTTCTCCTTGACGATGGCAGCCTGCTCCAGCTTTTCTTTGGTGTCCATCTCCCAGGATTCTTTGGCCTGTTATGTAAATGTGTGACAATGGTTAGGTGAACAGAGAAGGAAAAAGCATCAGCTGATGCCCATAGAACAAGCAGTAGTTCCTTGTAGAGGCCACCCACACCCCAAACACACTGGTTTTTAAAACCGTGCCACTGTCAAAGTGAGTTCTAGTCACTGCCAGGCTAGAACTGGCTTCCTAACGACAGCTGCTCAGGAGGAAGGAGCAGAAGGCACGGGAGGCTGCAGCAGAGCACATCTGGAGAGGTGTGCGGTGAGGCCACACAGCGGAAGCTCAGTCCCTGTTTCCCTCCCTTAAACGGTACCACTCAGTTGCCATTATGACTTCGAGCTGTTTCTCTCGGGCCTTGGTTTTAAACTCTAAAATGGGAACACTACTGCAGGCAAGTCACAGTTGTATGTTGACGAGAATTTTTAAAATCCAGGTCATGTAGGTGTCTCTTCCACTCTAACGCGACCAGATACATAAAGCTTCCGCACTGCATCCACCTGCAGATGTATCCTGGGGGAATGTCAAGCAAAATGTAATGGGAGGGTAAAGCTGATGCAAAAACATAATTTCAAAGCCATAGGTAAATGGTTTAATGATCATCTTCTCATTTATATTGTGTGTCATTATCGTCCCAAATTAAAGGTATGAATCCAGAAGCAACTGCACTTCCATTATGAACAACTGGGTTTAGGAGGATCAGATTCTACAGAACAATCTGGGGTCCTTTAGGGAAAACAAGGATATGTCAGAGCCACTTGCTGTGTAGGAATTATAAGCTTAAGTGGGTACCTCTGAAATTCTCTCTTCAAAACACTTGGTGGTGTATTCCTGGTATGCCACTCCCCTTCCCCGAAAGTGAATAATGGGAGTTACTAGTCTTTCTGGCAACCCCATGTTGCTTCCTAGCAACTTAGCTCTATCATTTAAAAACCTAGTAACTAGGGTCCTTTGCATTTTTATATGTGTTGCCTGAACAGCACACCCCTTCTTCACATGGTTTCAATAAAGCAAGCGGGGTTCATGGATACACTTGGGCGATGACAGATACAGTTCACTGTGGGCAAAGGAATGCCAGGAAGCAATGTCCACCAGGCTCTGTGGGAAGGTGCAGGGAGCTACTTTATTGAAGCAGGAATAGGAAAGTCAAAGGTCCACATAACCATATGCAGGGGATGTTCTCTCTAACGATGTGGAGGCAGAGCTGCAGGATCAGTGCTGAGCTAGCAGGCTGTCCAAAGAGGTTCTGTGACAAGAAGCAATGGTCAATGACGAAAGCATGTCAGCCTTGAGGAACACGAGTGTGAGGTTTGATCAGCAGCATCACTGCTAGGGGAGAATCCCAAAGCAGGCCTCCTTGCCATTCTTAGCCCAAAGCTCCAGGGCTACTGGACTGACAATGGTCTGCTTTCGGAATCTAGTGAAAGATCAAGTCTGTGTCCAGTCCAAAGCTTACTGCACAGAAGCTGAAGAGAGCCCGGGGGTGTAAGAAAGGCACCCCAAATGCAGGGCTCTAGGGAAAGGTGGGCCCTGGTGCACAGGGGCTCAGCTGGGCTCCACAGGATGCCTAGCTCGGGCACACACTCTGTGCTTGTCCCGCGAGGCTGTTGCCGGGAGCTCCCAGGGGCTGCCTGAGATGGAAATATACTCAAGAGACATGCCGTTTTTGTCCTCAAGGCCACTGACAGACCCTTTTTCTACTTGGACAGGTATGAAAAGAAAAGGCTTGGGGTTAGCAGGTTGTCCTTGTGTTCCCTGTCACAGAGCCTGTGGCCCACGAAGCCTTGCACTTTTGGACAGTAACTTGGAGCCCGCTGAGGGCCTCTTCACCTCTCCTGAGAAGGGTACAATCCGTTCAGCCCTGGAAAACGGTGCCCTTCCCCCAAGGAGCGGCTTGGCAGAACGTGAACCTTTTTGTCTTCAACCCAGGAAAAAAAGTACAAAAAGAACAAGTCTAGGAACAAATAGGGAACAAGTGTTGGATTCTACCCAAAAGTGTTTTTTTTTTTTTTTGTTTTTTTTTAAAGGGCTGACACATAGGAACAAACTCTGAACACTGCGCTCTGTAGCTGTGGGTCAGCCATGCTGGCTCAGGGGTCCCAGAGACAACATGCAAATAAGACCACTGACCTACTCCACCAGAAACACATTCTATAGTTCATAGGAAGTGGGCAGAGAAGAAATATACCATGATTTCAGAGAAGTTGGTATTTTCTCACCTTTTCGAAGCTCTTAAGTGTAACTTCATATATAAGCTCAGCATTAGGTTCAATGCCAAATTTAGGCTTCCCTGCCTCTCCAAAACCATATCTGAAATGGAGAGTAGAAAAATAAAACTTTACAAGAATTGGTGTATTTCCAGGCACTTCCTTTGATACTTTGTGGCATCACAGGAGTGCAGAGCTCCCGCCTACAAACTATACAGACCAGAGCCCCGAGGACAAGCCTGATGCTGATCAGAAGACCCTGCCAGGTGCCAGAGGCTGCAGAAACCAGGCCAGCCTGCGCCTCCTTCCTTCTTCACATCTCTGTGCAATTGCAACACCTGTTCTCCCTGGGACAGCTTGCTTAATGTGGCCTTAATGTCACTGCCCTTTTCTCTGCTTGATTTTTTATCGAGTTCTTTTGATGAAACAGCCTTCATTTAGCTACTAGGACCCTCCCCAAGGCCTCATCAGCAGGAGGGCGAGAAGACGGCACTGTTGTCACAGTGCTGTGCCACAGCGCTGTGCATTAGAGGCTTAGGAAGCTTTCAACTGAAGTGCTGTCTCCGTCAAATAGCACCACTTCCAGTCAGATAAATGGGAGGAAAGGCTCACACAGCAGGGGAAAAATACATTTTCACAGTATTCAATAGTTTTAAAGAGCACACTAAAAAATACAAGTGACATAACAAATATATAACCAAAAAGAACAACCTTAGCAAGTTCTAACCTTCATAAAGACATACTTTCCCCCTGGCTGGTGTGGCTCAGTTGGTTGAATGTGTTCCCGTACACTGAGGGGTTGCAGGTTAGATTCCCAATAAGGGAACGTCCTATGTTGCAGGTTTGATTCCCAGTGCGGGTGCATACAGGAGGCAAACAATTGATGTTTCTCTTTCTCCCTCTCTAAAAATCAATGAAAATATATTTGGGAAAAAAAGAAAAAAAGAGAAAGCAATATTCTTACAGCTCTGTGGCTCGTACACTAAATGCTACAACTTTTAGCCAAAATCTTACTGGACAAAATCACTACAGACATAGAAATTTGATTTTCAGATCACGTGGGATCTTAATAAATACAAGGCGTCCAGGGAGGACGCGTCTACCAGAATGAAGTGCTGATGGAGCTTCGTCTGTTTGGTTCAATGGTTTCCCAGAGTTTTGAACAACACCCAGCGTATTAAGAAAGCACGCACTGGAATATATTCTGTTTTCATCTACCAGTATTTCAAGCCAGACTACTCTTTAATATATGGAAGGACATTTTGAAAACCTTAGTAAACCCAAACTTTCAGGCTATGGACTGAAAGATGCCAAGCCAGGTCGATGCCAATGAATTTTCTCTGGGGCAAAAGAATCTGAGTGAGAAATACAAATTTTGCTGCTTGCATTACTCTCTTTACCCCTTGCCTGAATTTTCCGGGAAGAAAATGATTACTCACTCACCTCCACTGTTACAACACAAGTAAATGGAAGCTGGAGCCAGAGCAAGGCCATGAGAGCTGGTAGGAATGGGGTGTGGTGATCATAATAGCAGGGCAAAGGGTATCTTCAGCAAAGAAATAAGAGGACGTAATTGCTAGTGGCCAATTATAGGAGGTGGTGAGCTCCTAGACCTATGCTCTACCTGAGCTCCTAGACCTATGCAGCTGCTCTTTTGTCCCTGCCATCTGGTAAAAAAAGAACATTCCGTAACTGCTGGGAACCGGGCTGGGGGAGAGTCCTTGCTGAGCGTGTTTACCGACAGCATGTTATATTTGGAGCCCTGTGCTAACAGGGACAAATACAACAGATGACCTGCATGTGCCTCAAACCACTGGTTCTCAATGAGGATGGGTTTAATCCTCCCACCCCAGGGGTATTTGGCAATATCTGAAGATGGGTTTATCACACAGAGGAAGGGGCTGTTGGCATCTAATGGGTATAGGCCAGGGAAACTGCTGAACATCCTACTATGATGCACATGTCAGCCCCACAACCAGAGCCCCGAGGACAAGCCTGATGCTGTCCAGCCCAAGATGTCAGCAATGCCGAGGATGAGAAAAGCTGCCTCAGTGGAACTCACAAATAGAGGGCTCCTGGCCGGGGGTGGCGGGTGGAGGTAGGGTCAAGGGAGACACCAAATTGTCCTGTGTTTTTTTTTTTTGTTTGTTTGTTTTAATCAGTGGGATTAAGGAAGACTGGGGAAGGGCGTTATTCCTATAACCTCTCCTGGGTTCAGATGAAGAGATTCTGTGGCGATGTGTGTGCAGCGGTGTCCTGGGAGAAGCATCTAGCTGAGCTGCCATGTTACACAGAAAACTGTCTGTCTGACGCTACACGGTCCTGACAGGCTAGGACCCCAGGCACAGAAACACATCTCATTGAAGACAGACACCACAAGTGGGATTCTGGGACTTAACCAAGAGACAAGCTGTGCTACAGTAACAGAAGGAATGTTATTAATGGGTTTGTTCTTTTTTTCTTTCTTTTTCTTTTATTGTATCTATATGAGAAGATGGAAGTTAGCAGAACGTATTTCACAATATATGTAATTCAAACCATCATGCTGTATGCCTTAAATTTGCTGTATGCCAATTATTTTTCAATAAAACTGGAAAAAATATACTTCTATTTGGTGAATTGGAAAGATCACAAAGCAAACTTTAATAAATCTCAAATAAATAAAAATAAATAATAAATATAATATTCTTGGATCACAATTCAGTAAAAACACATTTTTTAAAAGTCAGAAGGAAAAAGTCCTCCTGGCTAAAGATGTTAAAATCTTAATCTTAAAAAAACTGTTGCCAAAACTGGTTTGGCTCAGTAGATAGAGCGCTGGCCTTTGGACTGAAAGGTCCCAGGTTCGATTCTGGTCAGGGCATGCACCTTGGTTGCGGGCACATCCCCAGTAGGGTGTGTGCAAGAGGCGGCTGGTCGATGTTTCTAACTCCCTATCCCTCTCTCTTCCTCTCTGTAAAAAGTCAATAAAACAAAAACAAAAAATCTGTTGATGCAGGGGTACTTCAAATAAATATAAAATTTGTAGAAAAGAATGACAAAGGAAGGGTGACGTGGCTGGGGCTCCACTGGCCTCACTATGTCTGCCATTTTCTTTTTAAATTTTTTTAAAAAAATATTTTTTATTGATTTTTTACAGAGAGGAAGGGAGAGAGATAAGAGAGCTAGAAATGTCAATGAGAGAAAAACATCGACCAGCTGCCTCTTGCACACCCACTACCGGGGATGTGCCCGCAACCAGTGAACATGCCCTAACCAGAATTGAACCTGGGACCTTTCAGTCCGCAGACTGACGCTCTACCACTGAGCCAAACCAGTTTTGGCTATGTCTGCCATTTTCAATTTTCAGAGTCTGTTGACTGTAATCTTGCTGCTTATATGTATTTGTGCTTATATCCGATCCTTGGCACCTAGCCTCCTGGACAGAAATATAACTGGACTGTTCGGCCGAAACTGGTTTGGCTCAGTAGTAGAGCGTCGGTCTGTGGACTGAAAGGTCCCGGGTTCGATTCCGGTCAAGGGCATGTACCTTGGTTGTGGGCACATCCCCGGTAGGGGGTATGCAAGAGGCAGATGATCGATATTTCTCTCTCATCGATGTTTCTAGCTATCTCTCTCCCTTCCTCTCTGTAAAAAAAAAAAAACCAATATAAACAAACAAACAAACAAACAAAACTGGACTGTTGGGTATATTTTGGAAGTGTGCCAGAATTGGTGAATGGAAGAGTCCTTATGTTGCAGTATGCTGTATAGTGATGGCCTTCAGCATCCTATTCATGCAATAGCTTGGAAAAATACCTGAATTTAATGGTCATCAAATTTCAATATAAAAATGGAACTTATCTGCAGAAAACGATGCAAAGAATGTATAAGTTTGTTTCAACATTGAATGAGATAAATTCCTAGCTGCTGTTCTCTATTTTGTAATTGGACTAATGTTCTATATAATTAAGATGTACTAATCATTTAATACTCAAAGAGTTTGTGGCAATCAATCTCAGTACTGTCACTACAATATTACATTCTGTAATTGTCATTTTGTTGTGTCCAATACCAGTTTTTAGTGAGGTATCTCCAAGGCACATAGTAGAAAAATTTGGTAAATTATTCAAGTTTCTTTCACTGTGACTTGGAAGTGATATATCTTTATAGAATGAAACAGTATATTGAACTAGCTTTTTTATTGGGAAAAAAGGGCTTCAATTTGTGTTGCTAAGGGTTGCATTCATACTTAATAATACTTGCTTTACCTCTGGCCACACCATTTTGAACATTAACCAGAGTACCTCTGCTCTTAACGAACTTTGTAGTTTATAGCAGTTTTTAAAACTATTTAAAATAAGCTATGCAATTCTAAGGAGAAAGATAAATGAGATGTGACTTGAGTAATACTGAGAAAGTGTTCATATTTAATGTGAAAGGATTTAGAATAGCTGATCGGTGTAGTCGCTTCTACAGCCTCTCTGGTTAAGTATGGATAAATGTCTTAAGTATAAATTTGACCAGTTGTCATTCTCTAAGTAAAATTACATTCTTAGAATAAAAAGAATAAAATAGAACAATTACAAAATGATAAAAAAAAAAAAAGAATGACAAAGGAAATAGTATATTTCAGAATCTCTGAGATACACACAAAATGCTACCCAGGGGGACATTCATAATATATATTTTTAAATATCCAAATTCTAATTTTATTCCTTTCCTATATTATTCATGTAGTAATTTGTAGTACTTCTTGATACACCTTTATATGTATTTGCTCCCACATGTACTTACAAGTACATAAATCTATATATATAAAAGCCTAAGTGACCGTTGCAACCGAAACAACTGAGCAGTCAACTGTACAGGCTGCATTGGATGACCAGGCTGGCAGGAGGGTTAGTGAGGGATGACCAAATGACTGAGCAACAGGCTGCATGGGATGACCAAGCCAGCAAAGGGGGCAGTTGGGGCTGACCAGGCCAGCAGGAGTGGGAACAATGAGGGGTGACCAGGCTGGCGGCGAGGGAGGGGGAAGTTGGGGGCAACCAGGCAGTCAGGAGCCAGTGGTCCCACATTGTGGGAGGGGTGTCTGATTGCCAGTTAAGGCCTGATTCAGGGGATCAGACATCCCCAGAGAGGTCCTGAATTGGAGAGGGTGCAGGCTGGGCTGAAGAGACCCCCTCCCCACACCATGAATGAATTTAGTGCACTGGGCCTCTAGTATACAAATAAACAGGTATTAATTTGCAGTCTTTAACTATAGTTTTAAAATATAATTAAGTTAGCAATAAAGTAACACAATGTTGATGACAATGTTCTAGAATAGTTGCCTATAGAGATACAAATAATGACTATTAATGACCATTAGTCTTTATGTATATACAAGCATTTATGCCATAAGTTCTTACCAATTGCAGCCTTTTTATAAACAAGAAAACTGAGACTCAGATAGAAGTGCTTCCTGAGAGTTACACAAAGAGGAGTGTAGAGCCAGGATTTAAATTCAGACTCTGTATGTTCCCAGAAAATGGTTTCATTTTTGACCCAGACTGCCTTGTTTTTGTTTGGGGTTGGTGCAGGACAGAAATATAAGGAAAACATTAAAACTAGTCACCCTTAAACTAAAATGAAAAGGTGATCAGTCACAGTATTTAAAACAATATACAAGATACTGTCCTGATGAGAAGAGAAAAAATAGGTTCTTTGGAAGTGTTTTATAAAACTTCTTATGAAAACATCCTGTCAAATAGTCCACCAGAATGGAGGAGGAGGTATGCTCTGGAAATCTTTAGAGAAGGGACTATAGGTGACAGGAAGTAACACAGAACATGTTTGCAACAGCCACATTTACAACGCTCAGGTGCAGTGCTGCCTAGGCCTTTCTATTATATATACGGGGATAATGCCCCACAGTGCACGTGTGAACATCTCCTTTTGTACAGCAGGCCTTTACGTAACTCAGCATACTAACTGACATCTTGAAGAGAAATAGAACATATTCCTTTTGAGGGGTTATATGTGTCAGGCACTCTGCTAAGTTCTTTACATGCATTATCTAATTTAGTTCTCCACAATTTTATGAGATTCCATCTCTCCCACTTTACAGAAGGGGAAACTAAGGCTGAGGAGAATTAAGTGACTTTCAGAAGTACACAGAGCTTACTAATGATACAACAAAAATTTAAACTTGCAAGAAACTATTTTCATTAATAAACATAAGGATAATTTGTTTCTCTCTGCCATTAAACTTGAGACATCTGCCTCTACTAACAAAAGGATTCAAAGAATATCATATGCACACAGTGTATAAAAAACTTATCCCAAGGAACTGAAACCTGCAAAGATACACGGGACATAAATACCACTCTCTTTATAGAAATTTTGAATTACTGTAATTTTAGAATGCCAGATTAAAAACCATTAGACATTATTTAGATATGGAGGAGAAAGCCTTTTCTATGCATTGCTTGATTTAAAAAAAAAATCATTATAGGAGAAATAGATTCACCTGAGGGTGAACTACAAATATGAAGTAAATATTAGTAAGAGACACTGAAGTGGGAATCCATTAGTGGAGAAAGGAATATGACAGAGGAAAAGAAGGTATTAAATAAAAGGTGCCTCCAGTGAAGGCTGTAACAAGGTTCAAGGTCCAAGGTGGTGAGCATTTTGGAAGAGTTTTCAGGTGAGTATGGCATGGTTAAAGCATCACTGGAGAAATAGGATCATGCCCCAAGTATTAGGGCAAAGGTAAATATGCCACTGATGACTACTGAGGCTGCACAAAGGCAAGTGATTATACAACAGGCGCAGTATTACCTATTGGTAAGTCCATTTCATCAAGATTCTTAATTTCTCAAAATCCTACTGATTGAAACCCAAAGAGCCAGAGAGGGAGTAGACATGAGATAAGCAGATGCACTTACAGACAAACAGAATCAAAATACCCTGGTTTCTCTCAAGGGCCCATTTCTCAAGATAGAAGGGTTGGGTCCATGGTATAATTTTAGATCTAAAAATAACACCAAACATGTTTTCACAAGAGAGACTGTTAGTGTCTGATAATTCTAAGCTTGGAAGTGCTAATGGGTATCCTTATTATGGGAAAAATTTAGGCAAAAATGAGTCATCTCTGCTGCCTTTAGGTCCAGGAAGAGCACTTGTTTTTTTCAGGGACTCTGTATAAGAACAGGGGGCACAAATTCAAGTGGTAATAAGTCATCCAAATGCTTCTTCTACTTCTAACCCACCATGTTTTACTGACTCATTTGGAGAAAAGGGAACATGGGGCAAGAAGATCACATGAGAAGTCCCAATAGCTTCCTGTCTTGGCAATATGGCAGGCAAAACAAATAGACAAAAAAGCAAAACTTGTCTGTCAGTCCTATGAACACACATCAATCAAGTAAACAGGTCCATAAACCTTTGTTATGTAAGGCCCAATAATTCACTCCATCGCTAACTATAACTTGATTTAACTGTTTCTGTTAGCATTAACTTCACTGAAAATATCAAATGTTGACCGAAAGGCAAGCATAACTCTGTTCTTTAGACAATGTTACTGTGTACTGAACTGGGATGCTGCTTACCGTGGTCCAAGACATAAAATACATTGTTCTTCCCGCTGCATTTTCTCCAGGGCTTTGTCAATTCCGATTGGAATGTCGTGGTCTTCTCCTTCGCCAACAATGAAAACCACATCTCTGCAATCAAAAATCCTTTCACCACAGCGGCCTTCCAGGTGGACTGAGGGAAAGGAGACAGGCAGTCAACCAAGCTGCTCCTCAGGACTGGCAAACTTAGGGAAGTGATAAATGTTTCTCCTTCTCACTTCATCTAGAGACATAATGGTATGTGTGTGGAAGCTTAAATTTAAGAGCAATCATGTTTCTTCCTGTTTTAAGCTTAAACTTTGAATTACTGATAACTAATCACTATGATAGCTTAGTGAATAATAAAAGTGTGGAAAATAGGTTTAACTGAAACCTACAAAATGGCAGAGGTTTCCTTAGAGCAGTGGTTCCCAACCTTCCGAATGCCATGACTCTTTAATACGGTTCCTCATGTTGTGGTGATTCCCAACCATAAAATTGAGAACAGCAGTGGTTCTCAAGCCTAAGATTATCGGAAACACAGATATTTAGATTACGATTCATTCATTACAGTTATAAAGTAGCAACGAAAATAATTTTATGGTTGGGGGGTCTCCACAACATGAGGAACTGTATTATTTTCCCCCCATTTTTTTATTAAGGTATTATATGAGTACATATCTTACCATTGCCCGCTCTCCACCCCACTCCCATACATGCCTTCACCCCCCCCCCCCCGAGTTTTGCGTCCATTGGTTATGCTTATATGCATGCATACAAGTCCTTCGGTTGATCTCTTATCTCCCCCACCTCTCCCTAACCTTCCCGCCGTAATTTGACATTCTGTTTGATGTTTTACTGTCTCTGTATCTATCTTTTCGTTCAACAGTTTATAATTTTCTTTACTATCCATAAATGAGATCATGTGGTATTTTTCTTTCATTGACTGGCTTATTTCACTTAACATGATGTTCTCCAATTCCATCTAGGTTGCTGCAAATGGTAAGAATTCCTTCTTTTTTATGGCAGCATAGTATTCCATTGTGTAGATGTACCATAGTTTTCTGATCAGTCATCTGCTGATGGGCACCTAGGCTGTTTCCAAACCTTAGCTATTGTAAATTGTGCTGCTATGAACATAGGGGTGCATATATCCTTTCTTATTGGTGTTTCCAGTGTGGGATTACTGGGTCAAATGGGAATTCCATTTTCAGTTTTTTGAGGAAACTCCATACTGTTCTCCACAGTGGCTGCACCGTCTGCATTCCCACCAGCAGTGCACGAGTGTTTCTTTTTCTCCGCATATGAGAAACAGTATTAAAGAGTAGCGGCAGCTGAAACCGGTTTGGCTCAGTGGTAGTGTCGGTCTGTGGACTGAAAGGTCCCAGGTTCGATTCCGGTCAAGGGCATATACATTGGTTGCAGGCACGTCCCCAGTAGGGGGTGTGCAAGAGGCAGCTAGATGTTTCTCTTCCATCAACGTTTCTAGCTCTCTATCTCTCTCCCTTCCTCTCTATAAGAAAAATCAATAAAATATTTAAAAAAAAAAAAAGTCGCGGCATTTGGAAGGTTGAGAACCACTGCCTTAGAGGATCAAGAAATACTATGTTAATGAATAGATAATTATCAAAATGCCACCAATTTAGTATCAAATATGTAATGGCTTAAATATGTAAAGTACATTTAGAACTGTACTTTGGCTTTGGATGCTAGGATGAAAAATAACTGAATGACCATTTTCATTGACATACAAAGGTTAACTGAATATAGAAGCTCCTCTTTTCCTTTAAGGGTTTTAATCTCATTCACAAATATCTATATTGTGAAGGTGCATGAAATTCGTGCACGGGGGTTAGGGGGGGACAGGTGTCCCTTATTCTGACCTGCAACCTCTTGAAATCCAGGACCCTTCAGGTAGGCAGGGTCCCTAGGCCTGGCTGGAGATCAGGGCCTATTGGAACTTTCCTTCCCCCGGCTGCCAGCAGCTGGCCCCACCGCTGCCGCTGTCATTGCTTGCCATCTGTGGGGTGTGATCGCTTGGCTGACCTGGGCCTCCCTCTGTGGGGTGATTGCTGACCAGTGTCGCTAGCTGGTGGCCTGGACCTCCCTCTGTGGGGCAATCAATCTCAGGACCCCAGATCGATTGTCCCACCCACCCGCCATAGCACCACTGGTCTGGTAGCCTAGGCCTCCCTCTTTGGGGCAATCAATTGCTGGGCTCTTATCAATCGCCCAGCAGGAGGCCCCGCCCACCTGGCCAGGACTCTGTGATAGATTGCAGTGCAGAGGGTGGCCTGGGCCTCCCTCTTTGGGGTGATGGTGAAGCCCTTATGCCCCCATTGATCGACGCGCTGGCCAGTGGTCTGGGCCTCCTTCTTTGGGACAATAAATTGTGGAGGAACTCCCCACCCCTTTTAATCGCTCTGCAGTGGGTGGCCTGAGCCTCCTTCTGCAGAGTGATGGCGGGCAACCTAACTAGTCACATTGTACCTGCCTTAGCGTGGCTGTCTGGAAGGTCATCTGGGCAGTTGTTCTGCTGTTCGGTCAATTTGCATATTACACTTTTATTATTACAGATCTATCTATATATATAAAAGCCTAAGAGACCAATCAGTAGCTATGATGCACACTGACCACCAGGGGGCAGACGCTCTGACCAGTATGTTAGCTTGCTACTGGGGTCCAGCCAATAGGGACTGGGTGAGATAGGCTGGACATGCCCTGGAGTCCTCCAACAGACCCTCCCTGGTGGCAACCTCCCACGGTACTTTCCTGGCCCTGATCGTGCACCAGTGCGATCCTTCAGCTTGCCTGTGCCCTCTTGCAATCTGGGATCCCTTGGGGGATGTCTACAGGCCAGGCTGTGGGACCCCCATCGGTATATGAATCCGTGCACTGGGCCACTAGTATTTGAATAAAATGGAAAATCCAATGGCAACATCATTAACAACTAACATTGCCATATTTCTTAGTGTAGAAATAAATGTAAAGTGTGACAATCAGTAAGTACTCTACTATACCATCACAAACCAAATTACTTAACCATTGCCTTTAAAATGTTAAGTTGAAGAGGTCAATTTCTTGGTGCCCAATTCTCCACTCACTCAGCTCGTTTTGAGGGTAATTTCATATTGGTCAAGGGGCTTTTGCTTTTATGGTTTTTCAAGACAAAATAAGAAAAATGCATATTTTTTTCTTGATTAGATTTTTCCTCCATTAGGATAAGTAATTCTATCAAACTTTTAGCTACTTATTTTTTTTAACCGTGTTATTCATTCCTTACCATTTAGATCTTAGACTCAGTAAGAAAAAATCGATTGTTTGTATCACTGCACAATATATTTTGTCTTTCATAAGAAAATTCTTTATTCCTACTTCTGTAATCTAATGGCCTAGATTAAAATGTAACGATTTCCTAAAATGCTCACTTTTTTTTTACTGGTTGCTCTGTTGTCTATCAATAACTTGCTTTAGAGACTTAAAAAAAAAAATCACTCATTCTGTTATAGTCATTTCATGAGACAATTATTTTCCAAATACAAATTTAATTCCAACTTACTCTACTTTTGAACTACATGACTTCCAAGGTCCTATGAAGCTTTAAAATTCTATGATTCTGTGACCCAGTAATATAACTGTCAATATAGGCCACAAATCAGTTTCAAAGGTAATTATTTGATCAGTTACTTTTAGCCTGGGCCTGAGAAATGAGAGAAACCCTGAAGACAACAGTTCCATAGACATGAGGAGCTACAATGTCTCACAATTATGCCTTTCTAATTCACTAGGATTAATACCATCCTGATTTGTTCCCATTGCAGACTTGACCAAACTAGAGAAGACCTGACACTCAGGGTACAGCTGGCATATGGGAATTTTGCTCTTTGTCCCATACTCATAATTGCTGATAATTCTATTCCACTCATTTTTGGAATGCTCTAGATAAAACGTAATCAACTTGCAACACATTGAAAGTTTTTTTGAGTTGGAAAATATCTGCAAGATAAATTCAACTTTATTATTTTCAAATATATACATATACTACTTGCAACACATTGAAAGTTTTTTTGAGTTGGAAAATATCTGCAAGATAAATTCAACTTTATTATTTTCAAATATATACATATACTACTTGCAACACATTGAAAGTTTTTTTGAGTTGGAAAATATCTGCAAGATAAATTCAACTTTATTATTTTCAAATATATACATATACTATAAGTTTAGATATTTTTACTAGAGTAAATGCTGATGTTTCTGAAGTTGAGGGTTCTGAAAAGTTTGTGTTATTTTTAAATCTGCCCAAGAAGTTGAATTTAGAATAACGCGATGACACTTTTCCTGACAGATTTGCTGAGTGAGCAAAGTGAGGTTCAGCCCACGTACTGTGGGATTCCTCAAGCACTGAGATTACCTTAGTAGCTCACAACTGAGCTGACAAATCTTTCTGTCTGAGGTTTATTGTTAGAAGTATCTTCCTCCCTAAAGGAGAGTACATTTGTGGGGGAGGAAACTATCAGTACATTCATTGTGGTTTTTGGTTGATCAAGTTTAAATGTGTTTTCAAAACAGGAAATGCAGAGGCTGCAAGGACTCCTGTGTGTCACGTCCCAGGCCTGGTTTGGGGCTCAATGCATGTATTAGATATTAAAATTACATAAATAACTCCAGAAGTTCTCCTTACAAGTGATATCCCATGATATTAGGAAAAAAAGATTGGCTATTAATAAGTATGTTGGGAAAGTTAAGTAAAGCAAACAAGCAAAAAAAAAAAAAAAAAAAAAAAAAAAAAAAAAAAAAAGTTCAAGTCAAATGATGATGAAGCCATAATTAAGAAAGCAAAATGAAAACAAAAAAGGCCCAGGGAGGAGACGGTGGGCCCGCCTCCCTTGATCAATCTTAAACAACCCCACATTCATTACAGCTGGCCTAAGACAAGCCTATCTAATAAAAGGGTAATATGCAAATTAACCATCACTCTGTCATAAAGATGGTGTTGCCCAGTCCCCTCCGCCTTGCTGGAGCCCCCTGTCCTGGGGGCCACCACTGAGAATGGGCAGCTGAGCGGCCTGGCAGAATGCCAGCTTTGTCACTGTGGTGACGGAGGGACTCTGAGGAGTGGGTGCAGAGCAGCTGGGACAGGACGCTTGCCTG